GGTGTAGGCCTCCATGGCGCCCGCCGGCCCTGCCCGACTCCCTTCCCTCGCGGCCACCCCGGTCCCGGCTGGGCCTGGTCCCTCCTGCCCTGACGCCTCTGTCTCCCCTCAGACCATCGAGCAGTTCGAGTACGACGGCTGCGACAACTGCGATGCCTACCTGCAGATGAAGGGCAACCGGGAGATGGTGTATGACTGCACCAGCTCCTCCTTCGACGGGTGAGTGGGGACCCGGGCCGGCTGCATTCCCCCGGGGTGCCCGGGGGCACCTGCCCGAGAACAACCCCTCACTCCCGTCCCTCCCACAGGATCATCGCGATGATGAGTCCTGAGGACAGCTGGGTCTCCAAGTGGCAGCGGATCAGTGAGTGGTTTTTCGCAGCTGATTTGAGAGCCAGACATCCCTTTTCTCCAGCAAACCCTTCTCCGGGGCAGTGGGAGTTGCTCTTTGGGCTGCGGAGGGGGTTTCTGCTCCAGATGAGGGGGCTGGCAGGGATGCTTGCCCCCCCGGCTGTTGCTGTGCGGGGTAACTTGGTGTTTCCTTTCCCCCAGGTAACTTCAAGCCGGGTGTCTACGCAGTGTCTGTGACCGGCCGCCTGCCCCAAGGTAACGCTGCTGGCTCGCGTTCAGGGCAGGCTCTGCAGGGAGGGCAGCGGAGGGGTTATTCTGCACGTTGGGTGTTGGGGCTGTAGCCATCTCCGAGGTGACGTTGCGCCATACCTGTGTGATGACATCGGGATGCGGGGGGTTCACTGAGTCACGCCGTGCATTGCGAGCGGAGCGCGTGCCGTGTGGGCGAAGGGATGAGCGAGGTGACTGCAAGAAGGAGATGCTGAGCAGATGGGTGGTTTCAGGGTTCTGCAGACAGGTTTTCCACCTGCTGTCACGCAGCGCTGTGCTCGCCAGAAGTTGATGCGGAAGGTGCTGCTGACTGAAACCTGCGATACCAGTAGGGCTGTCGGAGGGATAAGCTGTGGTTGAAGGGTGACCCCAGAAAGCGGGCGCATTTCAAACCGCTCAGCTGCAGGGAAACGTGAAGGTTTGTCCGTAGAAGGGTTGCAGGACGGGGCGCTGTTAGGGCAGCCTCAGCGAGCAGCTACCCCTTTCCATCATCATACTGCACTCAGGGCTTACGTTAAGGTGGCGTCTGTGCGTTTATAAAAGGAGCGGAGGGTGCAGAGGGCCGGCCTGACCTCTGTAAGCACAAACTGCATCTTCCCTCGAGCTGGGACGCCCTGTACGTAGCCGCAGAGCAGACTCCTAACCTGTGCCCCTTCCCAAGAGTCCTGCGATCCCGTATCCCAAGGGTGAAAGCTGTGCTTGTGTCTGGAACCCCAGGCTCCTTATTTCTGACCTGGGCTCCTTATTTCTGACCTGAACTCCTCTGCCTTAGGAAGGAGCTTGGAATCTCACGAGGCTTGAAGCTTTCTGTCACAGCTTCGGGTGCATCTGAACCAACCGGAGGCAGCGGGTGGTGGCGTGAGCTCGATGCAGCAGCAGGCAGGGAGCGCAGGGCAGCAGGCGGAGGGAGTACAGGTGGGAGACGCTGTCTTTGGCCTTGCTCGGCCCATGACGGGGAGGAGCGAGAGGGCTGGGGAGCGTGGCAACCCACAGGCTGCACTCCTGGGCCTTGCGAGCCGTCCCGTGGTGTGTGGCTGTGGTGGGAGCCGTGCTGAACCCCGTGGTGCTCTTCTGCTATCCCTGTTCTTCAGGGGTCACCGAGAAGGTGGGACATGCCGGTCACAGAAGTGACTAAAAGAAGTACCCTTAAGAGCTTGACCTGTTCAGTACAGTCATAACACTCGAGTATTTCCAGGAAGGAATAATGTAAGCAGAGTCTCTACCTGGCTCTTTCCCAAGGCAGAACAAGAGCTGATATTTGGGAGCTCTGCCTAGGGATTTGAACTGGGAGAGGGAAAACTCAACAGTTCTGTTAGAAGACGTGACGATGACTGTGCAGTGATCTCTGCAATGAGGGCCCCGTGACAGAGCAACCAGACTTTTTTCAGGGCTCCTCATCCCTAGGGAATACTGAAACGTGTTTGTCTCCTTGCTGCAGGGATCGTCCGAGAGCTGAAGAGCCGTGGTGTGGCTTACAAGTCCCGAGACACAGCCATCAAAACCTAAGGGACTCTTGTGCTGCCTGGAGGATGCCCCGGGGCTGCGTTTGGAGAGGCGGCGGGCACACGGGGCGCTGCTCCGGAACCTTTCAGCTTTAGCATGTGGGAAGGGGAGCCGGGACCCCGGGGGAGCTGCCGGCTCACGCTGCCCACGCAGATCATAGACTTTGGTTTTTTGAGCCTTGACAAGGCTGAGGGTGTGGGGAGGGGGTGTGTAATGGTGATGCACAGGCTTTTTTACACTTAATGTGGAAAAGAGGAGAGTTGGGATGCAGCTGTGTAAATACTTCATTAAAGCATACTGCCTGGTCAGAGCCGAGTCCGTCTGTGCTCAGTCAGTGGTTTCAGTGGCTGCAGGGAGCGGATGGTGTGGTTGTAGAACCACAGAATGGTTTGGGTTGGAAGGGACCTTAAAGCCCCTCCAGTTCCAACCCCCCTGCCATGGGCAGGGACACCTTCCACTAGACCAGGTTGCTCCAAGCCCCATCCAGCCTGGCCTTGGACACTTCCAGGGATGGGGCACCCACAGCTTCTCTGGGCAACCTGTTCCAGTGCCTCACCACCCTCTCCGGGAAGGATTTCTTCTGGATATCAAAAGGGGTTTTGCACTCCACTGCCCCCTGCCCGCCAGCCTGTTTGGGGCCTACGAGTGCCATCGCTTCTTATGCCAGGGACCACCCTCCTGTCTGGAGAGGGAGACCCTGCCCGGGCTGAATCGGGGTGTCCTTCGCTGTGGGAACGAGCGGACCAGCGATCTTGCCTGGATGCAGTAGGTGATGTTAAGGATGTCACGTGGAGTCGCGGTGCCCTGGGCCTGCGGCGTCCTGTGCAAGGGACGTGGAAGGAGGCCTGAAGGACCTTCAACTGGCTGTAGCTGGGCTCCAGGGCAGGCAGAGCACGGTGAGCCCGTTGCTGGTGTGGTTGGGAGGCAGCGCTGGGCCTGGCAGAGGAGAGGGATGGACAAGCAGGTGTGGAAACACCCATCCAACCGCCTATTTGTAGGGGTTTGGCTGTTGTAAGCGTTGGCTGGGATAATGTCTGCGTTGCGTGGGCTGCTGGGAGTTTTGGTCTCCTTAGCTGACGGTTCTTAATTCGTTTTATTCCAGTTTGGCCTCAGCCACTGATCGCAGCAGCAGCTTCTCCAAGGGCAGAGCCCTAGGTCAGTAGCTTTGTGAAATAAGCCTTTTTTTTTACTTTCTTCCTGCATTAATCCTGTATCTGGAAAGCTCAGTTTTTGTTTCCTATAGACAAATGATGGAAAAACCAATACAGCCTGAAAACAGCATTTGATGTGGGATGAAAGCAGCTGCAGCCAAGGGAGTGTGTCGCCGCCGGGGAGTGAGGCTGCGGGGAGGCGACGTGCTCTCTGTCCTCCTCCCGTTTGTAGAGCTGGCCCCGAAAAAAAGTCCCAGGTGCTACAGGTCAGGCAGAGCACGGGTTCCTGGGGGGTTTCGGAGCAGATGCGTGGCTGGAGAAGACCCCACGGGGGCCGCAGCCCTAGCTGAGATGAAGCACTGAGGAGAAAGACGCCTTAACGCGCGTTTCTCTTGGGGACTTGCGGATACGACGTTGAGGTCGAGTATTTGCTTGGTGCAGAGCAGGCCCAGGTCAGGCTGGTGGTGGGCTCTGGGCTCCAGCAGACCCCTCCAGGGGCAGATTGCCTTTTGTGGGAATCGCCGAGCGTGCTTCAGCTCCTGGCCTGGGAGCTTCCCCTTGGGAAGAGGGAGCAGCAGCTTCATGTCCTCTGGCAGAGGAGAGAGTTGACCCTGATTTTCACACATCCCTGGTGAACGTCCAAAGCACTTGAGTTACTTGATAATTATCCTCCGGGCTTGCTTGGTCGCAGAGACTGGGCAGGAGAGTGTACCTTGGAAATTCCCGGTGGGTGAGGTCTTCGGGAGGGAGACCCCACTGTCCCAGCAGCCCAGGACATGACTCCACAGGATGCTCAGGCTGAGACACTTTGGGCCTGGACCTCTGAGCCCTGGAAGAGGCACGGGGTGAGCTGGCATCCCCCTGGGATGGGTTCATCCCCTGCAGAACAGCCCAGGGAAGCTGCGGGCAGCGTGTGAGGTTGGGGAGAGGTGCCAAGGTTCAGGATGAGAGGGGCCCAGGAGGGGAGATGGGTCTGGGGAGTGGGGTTTAGGCCCCAGCCAGGTTGTGGAAGGATGCTGGGGCCAGAGCCTCCCCCTTCAAGTGCCACGGGGTGGCAGCACGACTTTGTGGAGCGAGGCTGGAGCTGCCACGGGTTGGAGGGAAGCTGCTGGAGATGGGTCTGAGCAAGAGAGACCTGACAGTCTCCATTTACCGCTGTCCACAGCGCCTTTCGCTCCCTACCAGCTTCCCAGGTTGCGTCCCCCTCCCCTGCCTCCAGGGATGGGGATGGCCGTGATGGAGCTGCTCCAATACTCGACTCCATCCCCAGTCCCAGGCCACCTTGTCCCCTGGCCCCACGGCGCGGGGCGGGGTGACAGGAGGGCTTTGCACAAGACCCTGGGCAGGGTGGGCTTGTTCGGCCGGCCTCCAGTTGCGAGTCTGCAGGCACGGGGGCTCCCAAGAACCTGATGCCTCTCATCGGGCTGGCTCAGTGAGCCAAGCTGCTCGCTTGCTTGCTCGCCCACGCGCGCACCGCATCTCCCAGCCCACGCCGCCCAAGTGATTCATTGCTCCCAGGCTGCCGGAGCTGAGCGTTGGACCTCTGCAAAGCGCCCGAAATGAGCATTTCACTTAAACTCCAGCCCTGGGAGCTGCCAGGCATTTTGTAGCAGCGAAAACCAAACGGATGCAGAGCTTTATTTGCTGAGAAAAGTAGGGCAGGGAGCTCTCACGTTGAAGAAACTGGAGGAAAAATGTGCGGCGGCAGCCCGGGCTGTAGTCGGGAGAGAACGCGTCAACCGGGCAGGGAGCTGTAGATCAGAGTCAATTTAAGACGGCTCCTCCCCCTGCACCAAATGACGCTGAAATATTTCAGTCAGGCCTGAAAATCCTGCAGGTTTGGCACCCGAAGCAGCCTGGCAGCTCTCGGGTAGCGTGTTGGGTGGGGGGGAAGGCTGGGGCAGCCCCCAGCAGCGCAGGCAGGAAGCACGAGCCAGTGGATTTCTTTGTGCGGGTTTTGAGAACCGATACCCCGGCTCTGCCTCCGGACGAGAAAAGTGACTTTCCAAAACCGCAGGGCACACGGTGTTTCTACGTGAAGCAGCTGCCGGCGGTGCTGGGAAATGCCCGGACCAGCCTTCCCCACCTCCGTGGGGGCTGCTCCGCGTCCGCCCCAGGGACAGGGACCTGCCCACGTCCCCTGCTCCCCACTGCCCGGGGGTGAAAGCAGCTCACGTGGGACTTTGTCTTGTAGCTTGGGCAAGCTGGGCTTTGGATGCGGGGGGACGTGTGGTCAAGAGCGCTGCTGGGCTCGGGCCAAGTGGGACTGTGGCTGGGTCAGGTTGCTGCTCTGGATGCTCGGTAGCGTCCTGCCCCGCTGTCCCCTCGGCTGGTGCGAGGCCAGGAGGCACAGGGGCTGCGCAGGGCCGGCTGCAGCAGCATCAGGCCTGCTTCACCCAAAATCTGCTTCCACTTGCTGCCTCGCTGCCTTCCAGCGTGTGTGCTCAGGCTTTCCCAGGTGCCTCTCAGCTGCCCCCACGTGCCTGGGAGGGCTGGTAACCACAGGGATGCACAGACCCTTGGTGGTGGGTGCTGGGGGGGACGAACCTTAAAACAAACCCCAGCTTAAAGCTGTTTTCTTTGGAAACTGGCTGAGAACTTGGCAGGGTGTGGGTGCAGGGGAATCATAGAATCATAGAATGGTTAGGGTTGGAAGGGACCTTAAAGATCTTCTAGTAGGGAAGATGGGTTGGAAGGGACCTTAAAGATCATCTAGTAGGGAAGATGACCTGGGTGTCTTCCTGGTACCCGTGCTGCCTGCCCAGAGCTGGGGTGAAACACGGCTGGAGCGAGGATGGCAAAGCCACGGTGCATGTGGCATTCACAGGGGGCCCATCCTGCCCATCACCTCTGCGTCAGGGCCTGTGGGCACCAGCCACCGAGGAGCCTGAGCGTGCCTGATGTGGTGGGGGGGGCAGGGGGCCCGCAGCAGGAGCCCTTCGGGCTGCCGAGGGGATGGGCGCAGGTTTGGGCGGTGTGGGCAGCGCCGAAAGCTTTCAAACGAGGCACAGCTGCCACGCGCGCCATCCCCAGGGGCTCCTGGTGCGGCGGCAACGGAGGCTGGTGGGCGAGGAACTGGGACGTGTTCCCTGCCGAGGGGTTCTGCGGGGAAAATGGGGAGCTCTGACGCATGGCGGATCCTCTGGGGGGTTGTCCCTCAGGAGGAGGCTCTGCCGTGTGACGGGGAGACAGGCTGGTGGGCTGTCGGTTCTTGAAGGCGGCCTGCAAAGGGCACGTGAGGATGGTACTGCCACCCTTCGCCAGCTCAGTGCTGTCTGCGAAGAGGCCCTCAGCTGCTTCATGGTGGACCCCTCTAAACCCACCGGTTTGCTGGCAGAGGGTCCCAAACTTCCCCTTGGCTGACACCTCTTACCCCCCCGGTCTGCTTCTACAGCTCCGCATCATGGGAGGAGGAGATGCCCAGGGTTGGTGGGGCAGAGTGTGGTCTCACCCTCGTGCTGGAGGTCACTGGGGGTACTGAGGGCACGTTTCCGCGGGGAAAACAGCGAAGTGAGACCACAGCTCAAGTCACAGGAGGGATTTGAGAACCTGATGGTATCTACCCCATCCGCAGCTTTGCTGGACCGCTGGCTGAATCCCGGGTGGCACTTGTCCTTCCTCGTCCTGGCTGGATGTGCATCACCCAGACTCCACCCAAAGCGGGTGCTGGGCTGGAAGGTGCTTTTTCCCAAAAGGGAATGGTCCTTCTGCACGGGACGTTGAGAAGAGCTGGTGAGTGGCCAACAGAGCCCTGGGACTCATGCTAAGTGAGGACGTTGCACCTCCCCCCGTGGGTCCCCAGACAGCCCGGGTGCATGGGGCAGGGCAGGGTGTCATCATGCCTCAGTGGCCACAGGATCTGTCCTCTTGGCCT